AGAAGAAGCAGCAGAGAAGAAGAAGAAGAAGAAGAAGAAGAAGAAGAAGAAGAAGAAGAAGAAAGAAGAAGAAGAAGAAGAAGAAGAAGAAGAAGAAGAAGAAGAAGAAGAAGAAGAAGAAGAAGAAGAAGAAGAAGAAGAAGAAGAAGAAGAAGAAGAAGAAGAAGAAGAAGAAGAAGAAGAAGAAGAAGAAGAAGAAGAAGAAGAAGAAGAAGAAGAAGAAGAAGAAGAAGAAGAAGAAGAGAAGAAGAAGAAGAAGAAGAAGAAGAAGAGAAGAAGAAGAAGAAGAAGAAGAAGAAGAAGAAGAAGAAAGAAGAAGAAGAAGAAGAAGAAGAAGAAGAAGAAGAAGAAGAAAAGAAGAAGAAGAAGAAGAAGAAGAAGAAGAAGAAGAAGAAGAAGAAGAAGAAGAAGAAGAAGAAGAAGAAGAAGAAGAAGAAGAAGAAGAAGAAGAAGAAGAAAGAAGAAGAAGAAGAAAAGAAGAAGAAGAAGAAGAAGAAGAAGAAGAAGAAGAAGAAGAAGAAGAAAGAAGAAGAAGAAGAAGAAGAAGAAGAAGAAGAAGAAGAAGAAGAAGAAGAAGAAGAAGAGAAGAAGAAGAAGAAGAAGAAGAAGAAGAAGAAGAAGAAGAAGAAGAAGAAGAAGAAGAAGAAGAAGAAGAAGAAGAAGAAGAAGAAGAAGAAGAAGAAGAAGAAGAAGAAGAAGAAGAAGAAGAAGAAGAAGAAGAAGAAGAAGAAGAAGAAGAAGAAGAAGAAGAAGAAGAAGAAGAAGAAAAAATCCTGCAGCGTTTGACATCCAAAGTTGATAAAATAATGCAACGAACGGCTTTGCTAATGCATAAGCTGCTGCTCCTACATTCTGCACTAAGAAATTTATGCAGTAGAACTCAATAGGAATTAATATTTTAATTCATGCATTTATGCTATGTTTCACTCAGGACGTTTTCTTCTTCTTTATAGCTACACGAACAACGCATAAAATGTATAACATAGGAGTGATCATTATTCGCGTAGTAGCTTCTGCGTTCGCTGGAGTGCGAAAGCAGAAAACGAAGTAATTGATTATGACTTCATTGGAGGGGGTACGCTGTTTGAAAGTATGTCGCTCTCATAGGCGTAACCGGTGGGGTGTCAGGCAGTATGAGTGCACACTGTTGAGGCGTTTTAAGTTTTCGTTGAAACGGTATGCGCTTTTCTGGCGGGAAACGCTTTTGCTGTTATAATTATTGTTACTGATTAAATGAAGATGTCTTAGTGGTTTAGGTAAGCGCGATTTGGATAGCTTGCGTAATTCTTTGTGACCAAAGTGCATCAAGATTGCAGGAGTTTTAGTCACGTTGAAAGTACTATGTTAAGATATTAGGCAAAATAACGAGCTTTATTCTAATTTGTTTTTGACTTTTTGGTAATATAATCCGATATTGACTGAATAACATGTTATAATTATATTTTTGATGTATGACTAATTCTCCATATATAAAGAGCATATGAGATTATGTGTGCATAGGTCCGATGCTGCTCTTCTTGGCAATTTCCCTTTCGCTTTCGCCTACGCTTTGTCAGCGGACAGGTGAGAGGAGTAATAGACGTTATCCACAGATTGTCATGAATGTTTAGTTCAAAAAGAACATTCTGCGAAAACATAGGTGGCAGGCTCAATGCTTGCGTGTGTCAGTTTCTCTTGGGCATAGCATGCATGCTACTCCCTTCCAGTCGATCATCATGGTACAAAACGCTATACAATGACCCTACGATGAGGTCGCATGTGGGCAATTCTGGTTCTGCGCTAACAGAAAACTTTGGGTACCAATGAAGCCAAACCCTTTCTGGTCGCGGGACGGAAAGTCCAACATTGCCGTACTGGCGAATTCGTCGCCGCTTACAACTTCGCACCCTCCACCCGAAACGTCGTTCTAAAAAAACATTTCTTTTTAGACTCTCGCGATTCCGGTCAAAGCTCAACACTACGACCAGCAACAAGATCCGCCGTGCCAAATGTTACAGATCTTCAGGTACATTTTAACTGAACATTCCAGTCTTGTCGAGAGAAGCCCCCTGCCCGACTTTCATTCGAAATCGCGGTGCTAGTTCAGAAAGTATCAGCCTAGGAAGTACCACATGGTAACCGCTTACCGCATGCGCTGGTTTTTCTGGGATTCAGCAGTAGTTTAGCGCCGGTATGCTGAACATAGAGGACCAAAAGGCTTCCCTACTCTACTGCCAAACAGGACACACCATACCTTATAAGACACGATGGGGTTCTATTCAGCCGCTGAAGAGTCGTCTTGGGCTCGACAGCCACCATGAATGGCTTCAGGTGGGGGCGCAATCGGAAAAGTGTCCCTGCTTATGAAAGAATGGAAGAACCCTGGGAAGGGGTGTAATTATCCCCAGGTCTTTCATGTATACTGTCGCTCTGTACGATGTAAACCTCTTTGACTTGAGTGTTTCAGAATGCGACCAGAAATGCCGTTGAAGTCTTGAACAAAATGATAGATGCCGAACAAAACCAAAGGAACATCAATCTGTTCAGGTAGTAGCTATCATTTTGAGAAATATTCCGCGATAACCGGATGGGTGCAGAAATGAGCGAAGCTCATAGCCCTTGTGCTGCCGTCATTGGCGGATCAATACTGATACGGTAAGGAAGAGAGGCGCGTCAGTATGGAAGGCAAGCGTCATAAGTTCCCGCCCACCCGATTTCCGCGGAATATGGCTTTAGGAGGGCATTGTAGTCACCCACGTCTACCGTACATATTACTACATCGACTCTACATTGCAGAAGAGCAGTCGAAGCCCTTCAAACAGCCCTTCAAAGTGTGCAAAACATCACATATGACAGGGAAACACTGCGTGAGTTGGCAGGGCCTATACGACGTCTGAACGCTGCTAATGTAAGTTTATTGAGTGTAGTTCAAGATACCCACAAGGGAACCAGTATAGTGCTCCTTGTGGTTAGCTATTTGACTCGACATACTACAGCACTTCCATGTTACATTAGCTCGCTTCTGGTACAGACAAAGCAAGCACGTGATTGCTGTGCCCCGTAACCTCCGCGGATTACACCCAGGCCTATGCAGGATGACAAAAACTCAGGCTTGAAGATCCGGATAAGTGCTAGAGAGGGGGGGTTGGAAGAGTTTGGCAGGGTGCAGTTAGAAAGGGTGGGTGGTACCGCAAAAAGTATTTGGGCAGTTGTGTGACACCGCCATCTCATCCCGGCGCTACCGTTGGCTGTACTACAATCCATGTCCTCCTCAAACAACCCTTTGTCTTGCATTTTAAAAAGCAACGCACAACTCATCAAGCTGAACAGTTGTCTCTATTAGATGACCCATTATACGCTCTGTACAAACAGCAATCGATGCGACCTTCAGGGTGGAATTGGCATGACTCAGCGGCCTTATGTTGATGTGAGACTTTTCAATCGATTCGGTGTTAAATGATTCAGTGAGCAAAAGGCCTCCGAAAGTAAAAATAAAGTGGGCGGGGCAGGCGGGACTTAGTGCGTCGGGGCCAACAAGGACTGCAATTTCGCTTTGCGTCGGGTTGTGCCACTTCGTAGAAGGAAACTTCCATGAAAAGTTCTCTGCCAGGAAATAAAGAGAATATATCAAAATAAAAACTACGTCTGACAGTACGTTCAAAATAAAACAAATGGGGTAGTAGGAGCAAGTCCGAAGGACTGCCTCGCATAATTGGTTTCTGTGAATCAATTGCATTTATGGGGCTGAACAGTTAGTTGTTTTCGTGAGAACGGAGCATCCCCGAATACGTATGTATGTCATGGCAATGTCTCGGACGATTTACGATGGCCAAAGCAAGATATGCACAAAAGAAGGTGTAGAAGCATGACGGATTCAATATGAAACTGCGTACATATGTAACTGCCAGGATGGCGGAGCCACTTCAAAGGGAGAGGCTAGCTGAAATCAGTTGTCATGAGAACTACCGTACATAAAAGCTGAGAGGGAGAAAGTCCTAAGAGGCACTTCAAAATATGATGGGGTAAAGGTAGAACTTATCATGATTAATGCGAGTAAAAAGGGTGGTGGCGGGGAAGGGGGTAGGGTGCGTTTACAGGTTGAAGCAAGAAAGAGATATGGGTACACTGTGGGTTCAACTTCAGCGTCATTGTGAGCACAAAAGAGTTCTGTGCGTTTACAAAAAAAAACTGGAAAATAATCGATTGGCCACCAGTCACTAAATGCGATCTTTAAGCTCGACGATGACAGTAACGACGATGATGACAACGACATTGCTGACCGTGTGGAACACATTATGGACGCAGCCAGTGAGATCATCAGAGACTACTGCGATTAAGGTCAATACCGATAATTCGACGGCATAATACAGAAAAAAATGTATTACTGATGAAGAATTTGCTTTTCTCCAGCTTCTATCTTGTTGTAACCTCGGCATGTTATTAGGTTGACCGGAAAGTTTCCCGCCATTGAATTGGTGAGGAATCCAACGGCCAAGCTTTGCGACTTTACCAGTCTTCTCCAGCCCAGATTCAACA